GAGAGAGGAGTGATCATCAGCGCGCCGGAATGCGAGCGTCAGAAGGAGAGATAGGAGATTACGTCAGGCTCCGGTTCCATTTAAATGCCCGGCATTGCTGAAATTGGTCCGCGGTGACCTCTGACTTTGGGATCCGTCGTCTCGTTTCTTTGTCCAGACCGCTCTTACCCCCTTCGTGTAAGGACGCGGCGCGAGTATAAGCCCTCGGCACTAAGGAACGGTCACGGACGACGGTGAGACGGGAAGACGGAAAGAAAAGATCTCGGGAGAACCCGCGCTGAAGAAAGAAAGAAAGAAAGAAAGGAAAAAAAAGAAAGAAAGAGGGGGAGATGCCGCCGGATTATCGCCGGTTAATCTGACATCTCATGTCGAGTTTCACGGGGCAGTCACACGGCGCCGGGGAGTCGGCCTGCCTCCGAAAACCAGAGAGATAATCCAATTAACGAGAGATTTTCGTGCGAGAGAAAATCTCTCCTCTTTTCTTTATTTTTTTTTTTTGGTTTGTTTGTTTTTTCCCCCTTTTGTCGATTCCGGTCTCTCCGTTTCTCGGATGACAACGCGGAGGCGGATCCGCCGTCATGTCGACTCGGCCGGCTCCTCGCGCCACGGCGGCTTTCGGGAAGGCATTAATCATGCAAGTCGGGAACTACTTGTGTATGATTCGGGTCGGGCAAACAACGCAATACGAGGCTCGTGGTTGAATATACTGGCTGATGCTGGCACGCGGCGCGGGATTAATATTCTTTTGCCGTGCGCGCGCGACTCGCCGCGCGCTCTCGGAAACCGTTTGTTATTCCGGCTGCCTCACGAAATCCTCCGCCGGCTATGATATTCCCGTATATCTAACCCCCTCCCCCTTTCCCCCCCCCTCTCCCTCTCGCCTACCTGTGCACATGCACCTTTCGGCCGACCGTTATTTTCCGTTTAGATATGCGGCTCGGAATAGATAAACAGACGAACCGCTAGAACAGCGGAAGATGCGGCGTTATTTTAATTTCCAACCACTTCCGCCGGCAGAAGCGCAGAGCTCGACTCGACTGTTTGCCTAAGCAACGTGTATAAGGGATACGCGCCGTTTTCATTTCCAGCTCTTTAAACTGGAATTCTCAGAAATATTCACATTTTTTGAAACAATAATAATTTAATTAATTTCAAATAACGTGGTAGTAGGTAGCATTATTATCGGTTATAAACAGAATCTCTTAGAGAGATGTCTAATATATATTTTTTTTAATTTTATATTATTAATTAATTATACATATATTTATTAAACAATTTATTTAACAGTTATAAAATATTAAATTTATAAATGCTTAGGACAAATTACTTATGTCGCAAACTACGTGCAGTTACTTTTTTTAACAAATTGTTTGTAACAGCTCGTAGCAGCTCAAAGCTATGACTCAATTATTTCCCCTTTAATAAATAATAATAATTTCACTTACGATTATTATTCTTCGTAATAACGAGATCGTTAAATTTAATATCTTATCAACTTTATTTATTCCGATCACATCGACCAAAAATACGTACTTATTCACGGATCGTTTTTCAAAGAGGCGTCTCCAAGTGTCGCGTGTATTTTAAAAGTAGTAGTCTGCCTTGGCTTTCTACCATATTTTGTGCATACTTGCGCGTGATGAATCTCTCGAAAGAACGATCGTCGAAAAGAAAAATCGCCGTACCATCAAGACGTACAGATCCGATAAAAGTGTCGCTCAAAGAAACGCACTCCGGAAATTCTTTGAGAGTCGCGGCCTCAAGAGTCTCCTTCGTCTCTCGCGCTCGGCGAAATCGCTATCGAATTTCCCAGCGTGAGAGACCTCGGCTAGTCTC